AGGAGCTGATGGACAGAGAGACAAAGGCAGGTCACAGGATTGGGGGTCCCAATGAGGACAAAGTGCGATAACCATGGAGGACTAGGAACAAGTGAGCTGGGAAGGACAACAGAGTGGTCTAAAAGTGGGATGCTTGACACTGAGATCTCAGAGATGGTGCAGCTTCTGGGCATGAGACGTCTCAGCTATGACGATTGGCAAGGTGGAGAAAAGACTGGATGACCCCAGTAGAGGACAAAAAAAGGGGGGGGCATACTGTCCCACCTCTGCTGCTTTGCCCGGGCTCTTTGGTAGGAATGCTCACTTTCCCACTGCCCACCTACTACTTACGTAGTCTGGTAAAACCTGCCCATCCTTCAAATCTAAGCTCGCCTCCCCTTGATCACTCCAGTGGAAGGACTTCCCTTATCTGCCTGCCTGGGGTGCACCATACCTGAGCTCTTATCATCCACTGAAAAGCCCTGAAATATACCTTCCACTAAATCAGAATCTGCTGAGGGAAGATCCTGCTTTGCTCAACTCCTAACCTTTTATACCTCTTAGCATAGACCTCTGGTTGATGGCCAATAACATTTGGATGATACATGAATGAATGAAGAGTCACCTAAGCAGATGGCCTTAAGTTTTAGGGATGGTGGACCACCAAACATTCTTCCCCAGCTAGTTCAGACTCCCCCTGGCCCAGGCTCATCGCACTACCCACCTCTGTCTCTGTCTTGGAGTACTCCTGGACTCGTTCCACAGCCACGATATTAGACTCCAACTTTGACATGTCTTGAATCATCCAGTTCAGAGCAAATGTCACCTGGCCGAAGGGACTGGGTTATAGATAGGGTGATCTTCCCCTCCCTGTGACAATGACCTTGGAAAAAGTTCAGAGTCCTCGATCACACTCCCCTTAATGACGGTCTGACCTAGTTGGCCCTAGGAAAGTGCACAGGTGTGCCAGCTAGGGCTCTAATCACAATGGCACCTCAGATAGTGACGATGCAGAATTAACTCACCCAGCGTTTCTCTAACTTTAATATGTATAAGACTTCCTAGAGAATCTTGTTCAAATGCAGCTTCTGATTCAGTAGGTCTGACTGGGACCTAGAACCTGAGATTCTTCATTTCTAACAAGCTCCCAGAAGATGTTGATGCAACTGGCTCAGGGACCACGCTTTGCATACCAAGGAGTCTTGATCAAAATGCAGAATCCTGAGCCCCATCCTAGGCCTGCTGAATCAGAATGCACATTTTAACAAGATCTCCAGGTGATTCACAGGCACATTAAAGTTCAAGAAAACTGACCTTTCTGGGTTGCCCTTTGTTTATCAATGCAATGAGCCAGCTGAGGTATTAAAAATAAGATCTGCTTTACAAAAATTCCATTTGCAGTTAGAAAACTCTTTGACAATTCAGGCTGGCATCAGGCTGACTTGCCTGACCTCCAGCCAAGGGTCTAGTTGCCAAATCTGTGTACTTTCTCTGCAGGCCATGAACATGAGCTATATGCCAGTCACTGGACCTGCCTTGTGTGGGCCTACATCTATGCCCACAGATCAGACAAATTCTGTTTGTTCTTTGCAGCAAAGCTCCAAGAGCATTTCCGTAACACCCTAAAGTAGGGAAACTCCTTTGGGCTTTAAGTAGGGAAACTCCTCTGTGCTCTTAAAACATTGTTTTTCCAGCCACAAAGCCCTGCTCAGCCTGAATCACAATCCCCAGCCCATGGGGTATCTCTCCGTGCTTGACAGCAAGTTCCCACTCCTTTAGAGGAGAACCTATGTCTGGTTCCCATGTTGAGGGAAGAGGGGCACTCAGGAGATGCTTGTGGCACCTGTGTGATCTCTGCATCAGTGGTGACCCTGTCCTGGGGCCCAGGCTCCTCCGTACCTGCAGGGCATAGGACACAGAAAGGCCCACCAGCCCTGGGTTCAAGCTGCTTCTCCCAATCACGGCAAATAGTGCAGCAAAGAGCACAACACAGTTTCCCACAAAATCCACTCGGATGCCCAGCCATCTATGGGGGGAACACAAGGAGGAAATGGGGTCAGGTGCAGGAAGGGGCCAGTTTCTGTTTCAGGGAAGGGAAGGGCCAGGACCCTGAACACCACAGAGTCTAGTGGGGACCCCTAGAGGACCATGAGGTAAGGGAGGAGGCTTCTGACCGGTTGGAGGCAAAGCAGTGGTAGCAGATTCTCTGGTTGAGGTCCACCTTAGTATCACTGATGACCCTGAAGTCCTGGCTGCGATTGTAGGCCCGGATGACACTGGTACCAGACACTGTCTCCAAAAAGTAGGAGTAGATGGCCGAGCGGCTGACTGATTCCAGATGTGTCAGTTGCCGTGATGTGGCCACATAGAAGCGCTGATGGGAGATAGGGAAAGGGTTGGGGGTCAAGCCCATGGAAACCCCAACTCAGTCCTGACTATGTCTGAACCCATCCATTTTCCCCAGGGCCTCTTCCCAGCCAACCTTGCTGGCTTCCCCTACCTCCAAAGACCCAAGTCTCCATCCTCTACCCTGTGGGGCCAAGATGGCCAGGACCACACAGGATGCATATCTGAGGTTCCCCGAGCCCAGCACAGAGCACAGCCCAGATCATGGTATCTCTACAGTGGCTGAGCTTCTACTATCATTAATTCATTTCAGAACAGGAGCTCAGCGCCTGCAAAAGCTGTTTGCAATGAGCTCTATTTGAATGTTATCAATTCATTCATGTTAAACACATACATAAACATGTATGTTTAGATAGATACAAAAAGAAGGGAAGGATAATAGTCCCAAACCATTATCAGTGTTTTATTGAAAAGTAGCCAACAGGGGCAGTGCCTGTGGCTCACTGAGTAAGGGCACTGTCCCCATATACTGAGGGTGGTGGGTTCCAACCTGGCCTAGCCAAATTGCAACAAAAAAATAGCCAGGTGTGTGGCAGGCACCTGTAGTCCCAGCTACTTTGGAGGCTAAGGCAAGAGAATCGCCTAAGCCCAAGAGCTGGAAGGTGCTGTGAGCTGCAATGCTACAGCACTCTACCAAGGCTGATAAAGTGAGACTCTGTCTCTAAAAACAAAGAAAGAAAGAAAGAAAAGTAGCCAACAGGAGCAGCACCTGTGGCTCAGGGAGTAGGGCACTGGCCCCATATACCAAGAGTGGCTGGTTCAAACCCAGCCCCGGACAAACTGCAGCAAAAAAAATAGCTGGGTGTTATGGCAGTTGCCTGTAGTCCCAGCTACTTGGTAGGCTGAGGCAAGAGCATCGCCTAAGCCCAAGAGCTGGAGGTTGCTATGAGCTGCGATGCCACTGCACCCTACCGAGGGTGACAAAGTGAAACTCTGTGTCTAAAAAAGAAAAAAAAAAGAAAGAAAAAAAAAGTAGCCAACAGCAAGGAGCCCTAGGGCTGTTGGGGTCCTGGCCCAGGGGCAGCGTCCACCAAGACCTGTGAAACTGGTGCTACCGACTAAAGAAATATAAAGTTAGGAACGACGATAAAGCAAGAGACAAGAGACACAGAATGGAATTTTCAAAGGTGAGAGCTTAGGGGACCACACCCATTTGTGGGCTCCAGCGAGTGGCTCCAGGTCTCTGTTCCACTCAGCTTTTATTCAGATCTCTTTGCCCAGGTGGTAAGGTGAAGGAGGGAACAAAGACACCAGCAGTTCCTTTGAGTGACCGTATCAGCTCCTACTGTTATTATTATTATTTTTGTAGAGACAGAGTCTCAATTTAACACCCTCAGTAGAGTGCCCTGGCGTCACACATCTCACAGCAATTTCCAGCGTAGGCGTAGGTGATTCTCTTGCCTCAGGCTCCCAATAGCTGGGACTATAGGTGTCCGCCATAATGCCTGGCTATTTTTTTATTGCAGTTTGTCCGGGGCTGGGTTTGAACCCACCATTCTTGGTGTATGGGCCTGGCACCCTACCCACTGAGCCACAGGTGCCGCCCTATTGTTATTATTATTAACTTTAAGCATTTGAGCAGTTTTGAGGAATCTGAAACTTGAGCCTTATGTGGGAGAAGCCTCCTGCCTGGAGTCACACACACAGATTCCTAGGGAGGCGTTCACCTTCACTAGTTCACTATGGAGTAGCCACTGGCATTAATCTCTGCTGAGGAATCAGTGGGAGAGAGGCATTTTCCTCTCATCACCACCACAGAGGATTTTCCTCTGCAATAAGAGATGTAAGCCCTCCTGCCCATACCTCAGGGCTCGAGCTGTTCCCTTGTCTCTGCCCCAGCCAAATGCAAATCTCCACAATGGGTATCTGCTTTGTCTGTTTAATGGGCAGGAAACAACCTAGAAGATGCATCTTTCCTAG